TCGATGCATCGATCGATCCTTGCATCGATCGATGCATCGATCGATGTTTCAATGCATCGATGCATCGATCGATGCATCGATCTGTATATGCATCGATCGATGCATCCTTCGTGCGCGTGCAACAGATTGCACAGGATGGGCCTGATCGACCTTCCTATGCAACATTGATCGGGTATATCAGTGATGCAATCATTCAATGCAACAGGCAATTCTAAGATGTTGGCGTCCCCTGTATCATGCCCGTGATGCTCTTTGTCGCGTCTCCAATGGCGGAGCTGTGCTTCTCGATGTCTCCCTTGAATGGCGCCAGGACGCCCGACTTCGCTTTCGTCTGCCCCGCACCCATCCCCACGCACATGTGTGTAAGGCGTTGAGGCGTACGCTCTACTGTGTCGGACGTATATCTCAGACCCCCATGTGTGTATATGATGCCCCTGAACAGTCGAAGGGCCCCCCCGCCATTCTGCCTCGTGCACATGCGCGAGCGTGCTGAACGGACCCCTCCCCACCACGTAGGATCCAAGGATGCACCCGATGTGCGATGCCTCTCCAAGGAGGCTGGCCAACTCCACAGCTTTAAGGTTCGTCGCACCAGAGGGGCCAGCAGACGCACCCGCAGAACTTGTAGCAATCTTCGGCGCCTCTTCAGAATCCTATAGAGGCTGGAGGGTTAGGAGTGGATGGAACAAGGAACTCGCATTGTGCATCGAGCGTTCGATTCCAATGTGGCGACAGGCTGGCGGAAGATGAAGGGGAGAGGAGGCTAGCGAGGGTTAGGGTGACTTCCTATAGGAGGAGGGGGATGAGGAGAGGAGAGGGCGGAGGAGGAGCGGGCGTGGCACGAGTGAGGAGGACAGCTAGACCCCCAACGTGCATGCCACACGAGGTTCACACACGACTGCAATCCAGCTCGGCACGACACAACAAAAAAAAACGAGTGATCCGAATAGCTGTAGCTGCCGTCGGAGGAACGCGAACCCGACTCCGACTTCACCTTGGAACGCTTGGGTGACTTCCCAATGGCTTTCTGAACCTGTGATGCGTCGACCTCAGTGCCAGTAACTTTTGACTCCCTCTGCTGGTTGTGAACTAGGTCGGTGATCTCGGTGAAGTCGAGCTCCTTATATAAGAGGATGCCGTGCTGCGGGTGGACCTCCACGGCCCCGTTTGGTTCTACGCTCTCTCTCTCCCTCTCTCTCTCACGGGGGCGTTCCTCGACGGGAGCTAACAAATATGCGTAGCCAGACGCGCCCCGACACGGAGGAGGGAGAGGAGGAATACGAGGAGTAGGGAACAGAGGACACACAGGCCCTCAAGACAACCTTCGAGGTTGTTCTTTCTCGTTCCTCGGCGGTTCAGATCGCAGACCTGCAATGGACAAGCCAACCTGCACATATGTGTGTATATATGTCTATATATATGTATGTATGCGTGCACATGCGCGTGCACCGTTACCCATGTCTACAGGTACACGCTGGCCGTCGTGTACGTGTGAATTAACAGTGCATGCATGTCGACATCCCATGGGCCCGCCATGGCGTGGTCCTTGAGCTTCTCACAATAGGCCGTCGTAGCTTCCATGGTAGCCCACTGCCTGCATCTAAACCGCAATCGATCGCTGCAGAGTTGCAGCGTCGTCCCCCCTTCACTCCCTTCAACCATGCCCGTCAACCATCACCGTTTCCAACTTCTCTTTTCCTCCCCTGCCTGGCCCTCCCTTTCGCTCCTGTCCTTTCCCATCCCTCGCCCACGCATCGATCTCAATCACAGGGAAGGCCTCTTGCCGAAGGCCGTCTCCGCAATCTCGGGGCGCCAGCCGAGGTCGACAAGAATCTGATCTTTCGTCTTCCTGTGCGGCGGCAGTGTCAGCACCGAAAGCGCATGCCAGCGCGCTGAGGCGCAAGTATATGTATGTGTATATATATATATATGTATGTATGCGCGCATAAGTGCACGGTCATGTGGCACAAGAGTTATACCGACACTTGAGTTTTAATTTATTGTCAGCATCAATGAGGGTACCCGTGGTGTCATAACAGTGGCAAGCCATGCAGCAATACTAGCAACGAGCGCCGACAATGAGACATCAAACGTTTGTGCACGTGCCTCAAACATTCTCGGCAACTTCGGCTGCACCCATCCCTGCACAGGCTCCCCCCGACATCGGTCCAGTTGCCCTGGGCTCGCTCGGTCTTCTTTTTAGCGTAATACTCGGTCTTGGCCTGGCACACCTTGTCCCAATCGCCTAACAGAGAGGGAAGCGACACAACAGCATCGCGAACGCAGTACAAGGATGACACTATAATCACTCATCCTGAAACCTCTAGGCCCTTGCCACTCTTGAACGGCCTTGCCACCCAGACTCCTGATGCATCAGGGCCGTCATCATCCTCACCGTCCCGCTTCTCTCCTCGAATCCCCCCGACGGAAAGAACAGTCACATGAACGACCCAATCGCCTGACTCATCCCAGATCTTGGCCCACTTGCGTTTCTCGTGCGCCGAAATTTTTTTGTACTCAGCCTTTGTGAGCATCTTCTCCATCTCGATACGGTACCTTCCTCGCCCCTTGCCAGAGGGGCGTTGGCCCCCCAAACCCCTAGACCGACACCTCGAGCCATTCGATATCGAGGGACCCCAGGGCACCGCAAACGCGCCAGGGCGTGTTCGTTCTCGCGGGTCTCCACGTCACGCTTTCTGGAGCCAGCCTTTCCTTTAGCTTTGCCGCTGGCTCGCTTTCCCATGGGCCACCTCCCCGACAAACGTCGTTCTGTACATATGTGCCCAACACGTGTTGTCAGACCTTGAGCTTAAGTGGGCATTCCACAGTACATACACGATACATACATGTACCCATACCCACCACCCATGTCATTTCTGCATATAGAAATCATGCACACGCACATGTCTATGAATATGTATATGTATGTAGGTGTATGCGTGTGCCAAGTACTTTTGTTACATACACGTACCCACACCCAGGATCCTACACATGCATTTACATACGACCCCCCCCCCACGTATATGATATACAGCCACATGCGAGTGCCTCGCACCGCTTCTGTTAAACCAAATAACGGTCATCCCCAACATGCAGATCGACACCGGTCGGGGGTCACCGCCGGAGGCGGGGCGGAGGCGGGCAACCCGCCCTCTCGGCCCCAAGGCCCGACGAATCGTTGGGGGAACCGCCTGCACTCGCGGGCGCAGTGGGGCCTCAGCGCCTGCAACATATATACTGACGGGCTGCAACATATACGCCAGGGGCGTGACGGGACGCGCGCGCTCGCACCCTGCGCGTGCGCGCGCATCAGTGCGCCGACACGAATTCGCGCGTGGACCGTGTTTGCACGAAGCTCGCACACACACACACACACACATGCACACACACACACGCACATGTATACACACGCGCGCACACACACACGCACGCGCGCACGCATGATCACACACACGCACACGCACCTTTTTCTTTTTCTGCGGGTGCAACATATATGCCAGGCGCGAAACGCGCCCTATTCGCCTGCTCGGCGAAGGCTGCGCCGCGCGCAGAAGGCACGCCCAGCTGGGCAGACGCGCGCGCACCGAGCCCGCGCGCGCAACTTAAGCCCCCCCCCCCGCCCCCGCGCACGCGCGCGCAGCCCGTTGCGACGCGCGCGACGCGACGCGGGGTCGAGCGTGGGTGGTGGCCACACATGGGAGGGGGTCGGGGCGGGCGCGCGCGTGGGCGGGGCCCGCGGGGGCGCCGAAGGAGGGCGTTCGCGACGCCCCAAGGTACACGCACGCCACAAGAGCGTCGCGAACGCCATCCTAGGTCGCTGAACGGCAATGCGCACCCCCCCAAGGCGGCCGCGAGTGCGCTCGTGGGGCACCATAGCCCAAGGGTGGGTGGCGGGACTTAAGGGAGGCGCGCCAGGGCGCCAGGAAAACGCCAGGAAAACGCCAGGAAAACGCCAGGAAATACCAGGACACCAGGAAAACGCCAGGAAAACGCCAGGACAACGCCAGGAAAACGCCAGGAAACCAGGAAAACGCCAGGAAAACGCCAGGAAACCAGGAAACCAGGAAAACGCAAGGAAAACACCAGGAAAACACCAGGAAAACCCGGAAACCAGGAAAACGCCAGGAAAACGCCAGGAAAACACCAGGAAAACCAGGAAACCAGGAAAACGCCAGGAAAACGCAAGGAAAACGCCAGGAAAACGCCAGGAAACCAGGAAAACGCCAGGAAAACACCAGGAAACCAGGAAACCTGGAAAACGCCAGGAAAACGCCAGGAAAATACCAGGACACCAGGAAAACGCCAGGAAAACGCCAGGAAAACGCAAGGAAAACGCCAGGAAACCAGGAAAACGCCAGGAAAACGCCAGGAAACCAGGAAACCAGGAAAACGCAAGGAAAACGCCAGGAAAACGCCAGGAAGCCTAGACCAGGAAAGCGCCAGGAAAACGCAGGAAAACGCCAGGACAACCAGGAAACCAGGAAAACGCAAGGAAAACGCCAGGAAAACGCCAGGAAACCAAGAAAACGCCAGGAAAACACCAGGAAACCAGGAAAACGCCAGGAAAACGATAGGAAAACCAGGAAACCAGGAAAACGCCAGGAAACCAGGAAAACGCCAGGAAAACGCCAGGAAAACGCCAGGAAACCATGAAAACGCAAGGAAAACGCAAGGAAACCAGGACACCAGGAAAACGCAAGGAAAACGCCAGGAAAACGCAAGGAAAACACAGGACACCAAATTCTGCATTACCAAGGGGCTGAAGTGGGTCGACGGGGGCGACCGCTGCGTTCGGACGCAGGGTTTGGGTGCCGCGTTGGGTCACCGGGGCGATCCGAGGAGCGCAGAGGGCGTCCCGCGGGCCAGAATGGCCCGCTGAACCGCCCCCAGCGCCCCGTGGACTCGCCCCGATGGCCCAGCGTGGCGCCAAAACCGAAGATCCGAACGCCGCTGTGGTCACCCGTCGACCTACTTCAGCCCCTTGAAAGTGCCGACGGCACCTTCATGGGCTTCAGGAGCTGCCTGGGGTCCTCGAGGTGCACCCAAGGGGCGCTGCAGGTGCCCAGCGAGCCACGCATGGCCCGCGGGGCACCCGCAACGCCACGTGGGCCCGCCCCGATGGCCCCGCGCGGCCCCGCAGGCCCGCCGCCGAAACCCAGGAAGGCGCCGTCGGTGGCCACAATGGTGCACTGTGGCCACCCGACGGCACCTTCTTGAGCTTCGGGTGCATTAGGTGCCCGCTTGGGGATCCTGTGTGGCCCCAAGTGTGCTTCTCGTAGAAAAAGCCACCCGCTGTAAGCGAAGTTGGTGTGGTGGACTCGGTCATCGAGCACGTTCACCTGCGCGGCGCGGGCACCCTCCCTCCTTCTCCCCACCCTTTAGAGGTCGCACCAGCGTCAGACGCGCGGGGGAAAGGGGGGCAAACATCACCCAAAGGGCGCCCCAGAACCCATGACAAACCCCGACCAGTTGCGCACTGTGGGCCCCAGGGCCCAGGCCCACATAGGCCTACCTTGATAGAGCACCCCCCCCCCCCTCCCAGTGGGCAAACTCACGCGCGCACATGCGTATATATATATATATATATATATATATATATGCGCGCGCACACGCATCTGGGTTGTACATGCCCACACACACGCTTCATATATCACGCTGTCGGCTTGTATGTCTGTCCTTGTATACCCGCGTACGTGAATGTACATGTGACGCGATGCACATATGCACGCGCGCCTGCATTGTGTAGGTACGTGTGTGTCGTGCGTGTGCGTCCGTACGTGAGTGCGTCTGTACACGTGCGTGCACATGTGCGACCACATGCACATCCATCACCCGTGGCATGCTCACGCGACTTGGCCGTCGTGGCATGCGCACAAGCACGAGCAAGCGGTCACGAACGCCCGTCACGCCAGCCCAGGCGTATACCATATCAAGTTGGGCAGACCCACGGTTCGACCTCTAGATCCAGAATTGGTTCGAGTGCGTGACCAGATCATCCGTCGCTTCGCTCTCCTCTCTTCCCTCCCTGCCTCACCCTCCCTCCATTCCTCCCCCCATGCTCTCCTCTCATATGCTCCCTCCCCTCCCTGCCCGTGGGGAGCGCTGACCGCCCCCGCAGTCCCAGCCGACCTCATCCCCCCTCGATCCTCTCACGATCTGCCGCTCTCAAGGCGCAGCCAATGTCAGCATCCTCAGTGCTGACTTTCGAATATTCTGCCCGTCCTCCTGGAAAGCCACATTCGCCCTCGGCTGCTCCAATGCGCCCTATTCGCCTGCTTCTGAAGCTGGGCGCTCGGGCCGGCCCCCTTGCTATATGCGCGTGCTTGGTAGCAGAAGGCTGCACATGGACAAACAGCTGAACGGTGAAAGTGCGAGACCACAGGATGAGCCACGATGCGACAGCAGGAAACATCGCGTACGCCCAGAGCCCTGACACGTATACACATATGTATACATATGCATGCACACATACGTAGTAAACGTTAAATAGTTCTACATGTACAGACACACATACACTACTATAAGTATGTCATACATGTATGTGCTATTATGCGAATGTTGGCGTACACTCATACATGTGCCATCTATACATATAGCACATACACATGTGTACAACGTGAACGACACGCGCGGTTGTGACCGATGTCAGCTGTGCACGCGCAGGGAGAGACGCACATTCAGCCAACAACGAGTGGAAACACTACGTCACCCCTGTCTCTCTCACAAGCCAGATTGGCTCAGGCAGCACAGAGAATCAACATGTCTTTCTCGCAGCGATCTTTCGCAGAGCAGCGGTATCCACGTTCTCAAAATAGTTACCCAACGCGGATAGCTGCCTCCCGATCTCCATGGGGGTGTTGAGAGGGTGAGTTGAGGAGTGGAGCTAAGGAGGACGCGAGGAGTTGAGCTGAGGGTATCTATATACGAGCTCGTACATACACGAGCTCAGCTCAGCTCCCCAAGCTCGTATATACACGAGCTTGGGGAGCTGGGCGGAGGAGTTGAGGAGTTGAGCTGAGGGGCCGACGAGTCGAGCTGAGGAGTTGAGCTGAGGGGTTGGGCTGAGGAGTTGAGCTGAGGAGTTGAGCTGATAAGTTGAGCTGAGGAGTTGAGCGGAGGAGTGGAGCTGAGGTGACACCATCCATCCCAAGCAAATTTATCCATTCAACTCGCTGGGCCCCGACCCCCCAAGGAAGCCCCAGTACTTTGCATACCTGGATGTGCTTGTGCAGGTAGCGCTTCGTGCCGAGGTCAATCCTGGCACCCATCTGCTAAGCCAAATGGGAGCAACACTGGAGTGCAGCCGAAGGCGAGTAGAGGTGAGGATGATCAGATCGAGGGGGAGCTGAAGAGCAGAGCTGAGTCATTGAAAGGACGCTGCGGCGAGTTTGTATCAGCATGGAATTGCTTAGCAGAGCTGAGGGGGAGCTGAGGGGAGTTGAGGGGAGTGCATGAGACCAGGGAGTTGCGTGCAGTAGGGGCTCGGCCACCAGAACCCCCCCACCAGAAATCCGACCCTGAATCCCCAGGAGGTCGATCGATGTTTTGGCCAAGGGATTTCCGCAATACAGCCCCACGGACCACCTGGAGGGAAGCACGGTGGTTCTTGGCATGAGTCCCCACCGTAGCAGAGCGGATGGGGAGATGGGGGCACCACGTTTCCACGATGATGGTAATGCTGGCAACCGCTCCATGCTCTAGTGATGCTGACGGTGAGTATGATGATGCTGCTGATGATGATGGTGATGTTGATGTTGATGATGATGATGATGCTGATGACGGTGGTAATGGTGATGGTGACGATGAAGAGGATGATGGTGGTGCTGGTGTTAGTGGTGATGCATGGTGCTCGTGGTGGTGTGGATGGTGGTGGTGGTGATGTGATGGTTGGGATGACACTGTGGTTTTCCTACACTCCGCGCCCGTCCAAGGCGCCCTAGCCGCTCCTGGGAGCTCCGTCCTTCTTGATCGTCTTGATGACGGCCGTGGTCTTGCCCTTGTTGGGCGTCGGCACCTGCTCGATATCCTTCGGCGTCGGCTCCTGCTCGATATCACCCTCGGTCGTCGGCTCCTGCTCGATATCCTTCGGCGTCGGCTCCTGCTCGATATCCTCCGCGGCCGTCGGCTCCTGCTCGATATCTTCCGCGGCCGTCGGCTCCTGCTCAATATCCCCATTGGCGGTCGGCTCCTGCTCGATATCCCCATTGGCCGCCGTCTCCTGCTCGATATCCGCCGCGGCCGTCGGCTCCTGCTCGATATCCGTCGACGTCGGCCCCTGCTCGATAGCACTCTCGGCCGTCGGCTCCTGCTCGATATCATCTTTGGCCGTCGGCTCCTGCTCGATATCCTCCGTCTTGTGCTCGATATCCTTCGACGTCGGCTCCTGCTCGATATCACTCGGCTCCTCATCGACATCGATCGGCTCCTCATCGACATCGATCGGCCCATCGGCCGCCTGGAGGACTCCTGCCCCCCACTTCCTGTGCAGGATCGGCGCTTGGGCGGTATCCTCGAGGTTGTTCTGCTGCACGGTCGGGTCGGTCTCCTGCGAGAGGTGGTAGTCGGTCTCCTGCGTGTTGACGGCGGCGTAGTCGGACGAGTCTTGCTGATCTCGCCAGCCTTCGGGAAGGTCGAACGCGCGCTGCGGGCTCAGCCAACTGTCGTCGGACTCGGCCATGGGCACAGGCAGCTCGGAGCGGGAGTAGGGTGGGCACATTGGGCCGAAATGGCTACAGAATTGGGAACACACGGGTTCCATGCGCACCTGTTCTGCCGCACGATTTTGTTGTTGGCATACTGCACGATGGCATCGCATAGCTTTATAGAGCATCGTATGGCGTAGCATCGCATACACAACCAACGCATTGCATCGACTTGCCTACCCTATATCATTGCGTGCGCTACAGATGTGCAATGCAATGCGTAGTATATCATGGCATGGAGCATATGGGTACAACAGCATAGCAAATCATAGATCAGCGTGTCGTGCCATGTCGTTGCATTGCATTGCGTAGCACAGCATAGCGTCGCATCCCGTACCCTATGACATCATAGCGTATACCGTCCCTGCTGGTTGAGCGGCTTATACGACCTGATCTGTACACAGTTCAACACGGTAGTGTGTGTGAGAGCAGGTCATCACGATATCACCTGCGACGGTGGTTAACTGCATGATGCCCCACCCCGTCGAGCCTCTCCAGGATATATGAATGCATCACCTGCATGGTGATGAAGATATTCTCGATGTCAGCGCCGCGCCTCCCCTCCCAAATAACTCGCCTGCTTGCTGCATGTGCCCTATATGCCCCACAGAGCCCACAATGGAACTACATGACAGTTGCGTGCCCCCGTCCCTCTTCCACCTCCCGTTCCCACCTCGATCCCTCTTCCTCCCTCCTTACCTCTTCCTCTCCTACCTCCTTCCTCCTCTTGTGTCCCACGCGAGAAAAACTCCGAGGGTCATCGATCATGGGTCGATCGACCCCTGCCCGCCATCAGTCCGCCGTCCACGCGCCGTGGATCTCGTCGCGGATCGTTGCGGCCTGCTTGTTCTCTATCACCCCTTCTGTCACGATCCTCACGAGAGTGGCCTTGAGGAGCTTGTCTCTCATCGCTGGCAGGTCCGTTTCCTGAAACAGAGCGTCGCGGAACCCGACGAGCTGGCACCATTTATTGTCCGCACTGCTTTTTTTGTAGATGCACGAGATGCTCTCATTCTCGCGGCGGCGCATGCTGTACGTCCAAACCGTGCCCTCCAGATCGATTGCCCAGAAGCCATTCTGCTGGTACTTTTTGATCTCTGCGAGCTCCTCATCCTCTTCTTCGTCCACAGGGGGATCGATGTCTGGCGCCTCCTCCTCGCCCTCCTCGTTTCCCTCGTCTCCGTCCTCATCCTTGCCTTCCTCGATCTCGTCGGGGATGACTTCGACGGCGACCGTCTTTGCCTTCTTTGCCAATGGTTTCGAGCCTGCCTTTGATTTTGCCTTTCCCTTTGCCGTTGCCTTTGCTATGCTCTTTGCCTTTGCCATGCTTGGTTTTTTTTTTTTTTTTTTTTTTTTTTTTTTTTTGTTTTGCGGCGTGGGTGCTTCTGTTGCTTCTACTGTTGCCTCGGCTGCTGCTGGCTTCTTGGCCGTGCGCGTGGTCGACTTTTTCTTGATCAGGGCGCTGTCAGGGAGCATCCACGGTGCCGTGCCAGCGCCCACTGCCGCCGCCGCCGCCGCTGCAGCACTCGAGAGGTCGACTGTTGGTCCCTGCTGCGTGGCCTCGCCTCCTTTGTGCTTCTTGCATTTCTTGTCTTTTTTTCTGGTGTTTCTTTGACTTTTTCTTCTTCTCAGAAGAGTGAAGTCCCAGGAGGCTGGCACTGAACATGGGCACAGGCACCTAGGGAGACATGCACGATCCGCAGGAGTGGGAAACAGGGCTGTACCTAAACGTTGTTTTTAGTTTCGTTTTCGTTTTGATGTTCGTTTTGATGTTCGTTTTGCTCTACCTGTTTCCCTGTATATATCCCCCCCCCCAAAACGAAAAACAAAACAGCGTTTAGGTCCAGCCCTGGTGGGAAATATTGCGGCTGACGAGGGCGCGAGAAGGGGCCCGCGACCTCCGGCGCCCCTGACAACAACGGTGTTTTGTCGCTTTCGGGATCCAGGGGCCATCAACGGGACTCAGCACAGACAAAAATTGTACGAAACAGTATTTGTTCAATACGAGCTCAGCCCATCCCCCCCTCTTGCTGCCCCTGTGCGCCGGAGGGCAGGCAACCTCGGAACCCTCCTGCGATCGCACAGCCTCGAAGTACGTGTTCAACTCATCCTCGTCCACGTCGCTGTCGTCCATGATCATCTCCCCTTACCCCTTGCTGCGCGGATTAATCCAACTGGCGTGGAGGGGGGGAGGAGAGGAATGTCCGAGGAGCAACGATTGTTAACCGATCGAGGGGCGGTGCACCGTGGACAAACCATGAACAGGACTGTATTGGCATATGACAAATAAGCAGGAGTCACAATCACAATGGGCACGATGACCTCGATGCAGGATCCGAGTGTAGAACATAAGCCCGATAGGACAAGACAAGCACATACAAACTACTGTACTATACGACAATGCAATGCGCTGTTGCGTACAACCTACGATGACACAGCATATAATCCAATATCAGACCAGATGACGTGCACGACAGACTACACTCTATTAAACAAACCCGAACGATAAGAAACTAGAATCGACAGCCGAAGACTGGACACCATGAAACATTACTGGGTGTGTGGCGACAAGTCAAGACGGCACGATAACATACATGCCTAAGAGAACCGATCTGATAACACACCATCGGGCAAGACCAAACATTGTGTCAATATATGCAATGACATCCCATGCATGTACACCCGTCCCCTGGCCGCCTCTGGGCCCCGCGTGCGAAGCCAGTGCGAGAACATGATCCTGATCATCCTGCTCTGGACGTACCTGCTAGTACATAGGCTCATCGTCCTAGCACTGCTGCTGATCTTCCGCATCCTCATGTATCCTTCATCATTTCTGGTATGACCCTCCTCATTCTCATCAATGCTGCTGCTGTTGATGTCTCCCCCTCTGAACGCTCACCTTCACCATCTTCCTCATCTTCCTTATCTTCCTCGTCTTCATCTTCCTCATCGTCTTCGTCTTCCTCACCTTCCTCCTCTTCTTCAGATTCCTCACCTTCCTCAGCTTCCTCATCTTCCTCGTCTTCATCTCCTCATTCCTCATCCTCATCTTCCTCACCTGCCTGACCTTCCTCATCGATATATATATATATATATATATCATCTTCCTCAGCTTAAGCTCGCCTTCCTCACCGTCCTCATCTCAACATCTTCCGCATCTCCCTCATCGATCCCCCTCACCTCCCAACCAGAACGCGCGACGCAAGCAAGGGTGCCGAATCCCTTCCAACCTTGCTTTTGTCGGCTTGCGGCCGTGCTCCATGCGGTAGTTCTCTTGGTACGTCGCGGAGAACGCTTCGTCCCAGGCAGCCTGGGCGACCGCAAACAAGAACGAACATAGATGGGGGCACGGCGTATGTATATGCGGGGAGTCGATGGAGGGTGAGGAGACATGGAAAGTGGGAGGTATGGTTGATGAGGCGGATGGAGGCATGCATGGGGGGGCATTTGGGGAGGGAGGCATGAGGGATGAGGATACAATTGGGGAGAGGGGCATGGTGGATGGGGAGTGGGGCATGGGAGACGGGGAGGCACGTGTACGCCGCCGTCGGCACCATCACCGTCCTCTCCACATCGAGTCCGTCGTCCTCATCGTCGTCATCATCATCTTCCTTGTCATCATCTTCGTCGTCGCCCCCTGATCCCCCCCCCCCCCCCCCGCAGCAGCCGCCATCGTCGGCTTCTGGCTGTAGCGGAGGCCCTCTCCGAGACTGTTCAGCTCATGCATCAATTGGGCGAAGACCTGGCAACAGGGGCTTGGAGAGAGACGAACATGCACCAGTTCATGTTATAACATGGTGGTCATGCCGTTCTTGTATACAAGAACGGCATGGCCACCATGTTATAATTATCACTACACATCCTCGAGCGCCCTCCCTTCATACATCATTCCCTCATTAATTCCCTTCGTCCCTCCCTCCTTCCCTCCCTCCTTCCCCCCCTTCCTTTCCGCGTTTCCGTTCCCTCCATTCTTGCCGTCCTGTTTTCTGTCCTTCCTTCACCTTCCCCCTCCTTTGCAAACATATCCACTCTTACTGCCTCACTCCTTCCTGCCTGCTGCCCCCCGATAAGGCCTCGATCTCCGCCATCTTGGGACGGTAGTCGAATTTCAGCACAGCATACTGGAAGTCGGGCACCCCTCATGCGGGCGCTCGCGCAGTTCAGAACGTGGACGCCCGAGGCCAGCGATCCAAGTAAGGAAGACGTGGGGTAGGCGTCTTCCTTACTTGAGTCGTTGACCTCGGGGCGTCATAGTTGGTTTCCCTGGTTTCCCCAGAAAGCCTTCTTTCAATGTCGGCCACTCCTCCGCGATGTTCGCCAGGGCCCCCGCGACCAACTTAGTTGGAACCTTTGCCGTGCGCTGGTGCCTCGCCATAGTTTTCGCCCCCGACGGGGGCGAAGACGCAGGGGCACCAGCGATTTCTGCCATGGCGCCGCGGCCACGAAAAAAAACATGCAGGCCAGGGGCCCCGCCGCGTTCGACCCGATTGGCGACGGGCGGCGAGGGCAGGGCCGACGATCGAGCGCATACCTCATGGGCGGCACGACCGACGGGGGCCGCAAAATAACCCATGAGAGGAATAAGGATCGATGGGGGAAGAAAGGAAGGGGAGGAGGGAGGGGGGAAGTCCGCTTCCATCCACACGGGAGGAAGTCCGCGAGGGGGAAGGGGAGAACGGGGAGGAGGGAGGGGGGATCCCTTGAACTGTAGCCCACTCCATTCCCCACTTTTTTGATAAGACGTGTAGACACTGATTTGCAGGGCGAGAGCGAACCTCTTCCGCTGAAAAAGCTAAGCACATGTAGACGCACGCGCGCATGTTGAAAACGCGCGCTAGGGTAAATGCCAAGCCAACATGCCACGCGCCAGCCGCGGCTGGCGCGCCGCGCACGCGAACGCGGGTGACGCGCGCACGCGTGCGAAAGCGATCTTCAAGTTTGAACGCAATGGGCAACTGAACATGCCTGGCGAACGCGCGCCGCGGGTGACGCGCGCACGCCTGCCACGCAAAACACCATGCGTAATTCAAGCCTTGAATTTTGCGCACTATAGTACCGCGGGTGACCAAGGTCACCCTCGCGCGCGGAAGCGATGTTAAAAGTAAAGATGGTATCTTGCGCTGTGAAGTAACATCGAGGCAAATCAGGACACACCACGAAAAATCAGGGCATTCGGAAAAAAATCAGGACATCCAGGAAAAATCATGACACCAAACAAAAATTCAGGGCATCCTGCGAAAAAATCATGACATAACAAAAAAAATCAGGGCATCTTGCGAAAATTCAGGACGCCCTGAAAAAAATCAGAACATCCACTCAAAATCATGACGTTCTCGAAAAATCAGAGCGTCGAAGGCGCCCTGAAAAAATCATGACGGAGGATGTCTGGGGAGGACCGCAGAGGCGGTGCTGGCCGCGGTGGCGGAGGCACTTGGCAGTACCAGCACGCAGCGCGCCGGAGTATGCCATGATCCAGAAGGGGCAGGCTGCGTGGGATGCTACCAAGCGTTGGTTCCGCGCCTGGGCACAGGCACCGGATCGGCCCGCGCTCGTGTTGGCGGCGGAGGGCGAGGCAAGGGCAGGAGGGGCGCTCACTGATGAAATGCACAAGAATCGCCGGCGTGCCCAGGCAGTCCGCTTCCGGGCGATCGATGAGGACACGCTCATCGGACCTCGCGAGGCTCCAGCCGCAGAGGAGGTCAAGCTGGACAAGCGTGTGACCCGCTCGAAGAGCCCACGTAAGAAGAGCCCCCGACGTGCCAAGGAGATGCCAGCGACCAATCTGGTGAAGCCACAAGCGCTGGGCATCGCGCGGAAGAGCAACTACCCCGGGAAGGAGCTCGCCCCCGCCGGCCGTGCTGAGCCAGGCGGGGCCAACTACGCCAGTTGGTTCGCGCAGCAGAAGATGGAGGCCATGCTGCAAAAACTCAGCGAAGGCACGAGAGCGGGCTACGAGGGGGCATGGCGGCTCTGGGTAGCCGTGCGCCAGGCGCAGGGGCTCAGCCCTTGGCTCCCAGGACGCGACCGCGAGGAGCGCCTGGCCGACGAGGAGGCGCTCATCAACTTCGCCGTCCTCCTCGCGCGGGTCGTTGGGAGGACTGAGGGGACCATCT